CCCCCCCCCCCCCCCCCCCCCCCCCAATTTCTTTCTCCTGCAGGCTCTCCCTGCCCCCTTACTGTCATTTCCTGCTTTCCCTGAGCAAATGGAAGTGAGGGGGCAAATTTGAAAACACTTGAAGTAAACATTTTACTGTAATTTTGTGCATAGGCAGTTTATTACAGGTACCCGTGGATGTAGTTCATCCCGAATTGATGCATTTTACCTTTTTTGAGACTGCTGCAGACTTTAGCAAAGGTATTCCTTAAACACACTTTTAAGCAGCACTTCTGTATCTACTTACGTATAGTACAAACACCACATGATATTAATCCAAAGCCAAAGGCTCATGATTTACCATATAGTTCATTGGGCCAGGCCCCACCAAAGTCAATAGAATTTCAAGACGTGGCTCAGAACTGCTCGGTAGGTGTGTGCGCTCCAGATACCACCCCCCTAATACCCACAAAGGAACCATGTGTTAATTGGCCCCCCACTCAGGACTGGAATTGGGAGTTCTTGTTTGTGAGTCCAAAAATGTATGTTTAGATGAGGCGCAGGGCAGTGTGTTCCAGCTCTACCTCATAGAGCCACGCTAATTGTATGCGACAGACTGAAAGAGGGGGTAACAGAGAAGGATTCTGAGCGAACTGTTTGGGGCCCCTATTTGGTGATGTTTGTCAGACTTTTTTAAGGCTAGTAAAGAAGCAGGGATCATTGGAAATAGGAAAGAGGTGCAGCTCAGCTGTGGGAGTGAAGAGGAAGTCAAAATGTAGTTGATGCAGTACCTGGCAATAACTTGAAAAAGCATTGGTACTGAGGGGAGCTAAGGGCAGTACTATGTGTGTTATTCATGTGGGCTGCAGTAACCTATCCTTGTGGTGGGTTCCCGTCAGTATTTTTGCCCAATATGGGCCACGGGTTGTATAGTTATGCTTACCGTTTAATCAGCTTTATAGTTGGTTTCCATTACTGAGCACATGCTGCTTTGGCAGCAGTTTAGTGATCAATAGTGTATTTAATGAAGTTTCCTTATATTCATATAAGATAAGTATGGTAGCTCTCACTATCAACATAGTGCATGTTATTAGCTCATTCGCCTAAAAAGTGATTACATTGTGCTGCTGCCCAGAAAATATTATCCTGTTGACTGTGTTGCTATAAGCTTAACAAGGTCATATTGTCTCAAATGTCAAGCAACAAAAGCACAGTGGTGATAGAAGCAAGAGTTCAGTCTGTGGGTTGTGGACACTTGTGTTCTCTAATTCAGGTTAGATGAAAATAAGGGAGTTTGTTGCATACCCAGAAATGAGCTTTAATAATAGAAAAGAATGTATAGATTTTTCTGGGGACCTGCAAGTGAAAAGCCAGTAGTTTTGGTAAAGATTTGTTTTAGTTTCATCAGTCAGTAATTGGACCACAGATCAGTTATAAGCCAACTTACTGCCTGTGGTAGGAAGGAGATTAGTCTTGAGGGTACATAATACTGGTACGGTTGGATATATAGAGGAAAAGATTGTATACTCCGTGTAAATTTTCTCCTAATCATTGGTCTGTCACTTACCTGAGTTCAGTATATTCATCTTTTTTTTTTTAAATTAGGTGAAATGTAGATAAGAACTTTTTAATTTTATTTTAAACCTTGCCATAGTTGATTCTTCAGAAGATGTTTACATCTCTTTGCTCTATGCTGGGTATACTGAGAATAAGAGAATCTTTGTCTTGTTCATTAGCTGGCATAAGCTGTTTTAAAATTGAATTGCTGCCAGTATTTAGTAAAGGTAGGCTATAGACTTCTTTCATACTGTTTGTCAATAACTTTACACTCAATGTAATGATAATAGACCATCATCATAAATTTGTGCAGTCGTTGCTGAAATAAACCAATGGCAAAATGGAACAAAGGCCTGCACGTTTTGGATAAAAAATAGTGTGCAAGAATATCAGTAAATTAATTTCAGGATGGAAACCAGATCAGTAAAACAAGCACCTCTGCTTAAAACCTGTCTCTCTAATCTTTGTAGATGGACTGTCTTCTGCTGATCCCAGCTCTGACTGGAATGCACCAGCAGAAGAATGGGGAAATTGGGTAGATGAAGAAAAGGCTGCTTCTGTTGCACAACCTGAAGAATTATCATCTGATGTTCAGAAGGTAGATGGCAACCTAAGTTATTCCCTACAAAATGCCCTAACTTAGACTTTACCAACTTTTTGCATTTTTGTAGTGTCCATCCTGTGTACTGCTCCGGTCTCCTTCCTTTGTCCAGTTTGCAGCTAAGCTTTCTACTTCCTGACCCCTGCTTCCTACCTGATTTCCTGCTTTGCCATCTGTTCCTGTGCTGCCTGTCCCCCCACTCCCCACCCCTCAAATCTGTTGCATGGCACATAGAGAGGCTCCCCTTGCCACTTGTGCCATAGGTTGGCCATGCTGGGTATAGTGCATGTGGTAGCAATAGAGTCTAATTCCCAAGTTGCGTGCACCCGTCAGTTATTAAATATAACTGATATTATTAATGGCAAAAATGTAATCAAGAAGGAAGACATTAAGTATTTTCAGTAATTGATTAGACTCCACTCTTCATCTGTTTAGTTTTATAGCAAACAATTATGGCGTCACAGTGCATGAAATGTTCACTTTTGAAACCAGCTCACTGTTGCTCTCTATTGGATGCAAATCTTTCTTTGTAATACCCCCTTGCCAATATTTTACCCTGTATAGCCCATGATTTGTATGGTCAAGGAACTGCTGATCCCATGTGCTCTGTTTTTACATGTAGCTTCTGCAAGCCCTACCCCATACAGCTGCAGGTGGATGAGATGATTTTTAAACTTCACTATAACTTACTGAATCTACTCTCTAAACCCTGAAAAAAAAATTTACAAAGGAGCAGGGTATTCATTGTAGGAAAAACACACAAAATAACTTATGCTAATACCAAGAGCTGTCATCATAGTGCTTACCATATCTTTGTTGTTAATCGCATAAAGCAAATGTACGAGCGTGGTCATTTTACTATACATATTACTGTCAGACTGACTTACCAGAGCCTGTAAAGAATGGCTTTCTTTTCAAAATGGCCTTAATTTTACTAGTTCAATTTAATCCGTCCACGTGTATCATTAAATACAATTTATACAAGAGATGTACTTGCTCACAATCTGTGTCAATGAAAAGTAGTGAAATGCTTACTATAGACTCAGTCTCTTGCTTTAAATATTAAGGCTTCAGATGATGAGAGAGAAAAAGCAGAGCCAACTCTTCAGAGTTCTACCAGTGGCAAATCCAAGAAAAAGAAGAAGAAAAAGAAGAAGCAAGGTGAAGAAGCTTGTTCTCCTGCACAGGTAAAATGAAAAGGGATATATATTTTTTGTAATACTGACTCGTAGGGCAAAATTCTTGGAAATTATGAAAGATGCACTGTTTCTTAGCGTTCAAATCTTAACAACCAACAGTAAAATAAATAACGATTCTTACAATGATTGATTAAGTCATAAATCGTAATGCTAGCTACATACAGTTGCGTGACTATTTTACGGTCAACATGATTCAATTCTCTTGAATAGTCCCTCGTTTTAAGTGCATGATAATTGATCAGCAGGATTCCTGAAACATAAGGAAAATATAGGTGGTGGTCTCAAACTCAGTTTCGTTTAATCTGAACTAATATACCCTTCTTTCAAATAAATTGGATTCCTTATTTCCCTTAAGGATGCCATTTAGCAATCACTGGTTTCCTTTGCAAAGGAAGCCCACTCACCCCTATATTTTGGAAGATCATCTTCTTGATGGACAATTTTAATAGCTAAAGAAATAAGAGATGGAAGGTCTTTTGGCAGGTCTGCAGCAGAATATTGTGAAAGGCTGTTTTAACTTTATTGAAGGTATAGAAGTAGCTTAGTGTATGTAAAATCTTAAGTGGCCATGACTTGGAGACAGCTAGGAGAATCTAAGAAGTTAGTTGCTATCTGGCAGGAATAGAAGTTCCAGAGGTCACCTTTGTAGCTAACCGTTTGAGAAGTCTTGAGGAAAATCTGTTTTATTGCAGAGATTGAACTATTTTGTCTACAGTAAATTTGCCTAAGATACTGCCTTCACTATTGAACTATTTCAGTAGTTGAATAGTTCACTATTGAATCTTATTTCAATAGTTGTGCTGCATTCTAGAAGCTGTATATAATGCTGGCATACAGTGGATGTCCACCTGAATTATATTAATATTTTCTTTAAACTTTTGGGAATGTGTATTTGTTTCCTTTAGCTTAATGTCATGAAAGTTAGTCTGGTTAATATTTTAAGAAAACTGAGTTACAGGTACAAAAGCATGGGACTCCCTTTACAGTTCTTGGCTCACCCCTGTCGTCTTTGTAGGATGCTGAAGAACTGGATAGAGAAGCTGGAGATGAATTTCAGGAGGATACCTCAAAAACTCAACCCCAACAGGAAATAGCTTTTTCTTTGAAGACCATGAGCACTAGTGAACCAGCTGAGGTAGGGAACAAAAAGAATCAAGATAATGTTATAAATCCTGTTTTGACATAACAGAAGTGAAGAATATGGAAACATAATTGATACCAAAAAATACATTATAGTAATGTGGAATGCAGGGGTCAATATAAATTTTCAGTACTGCTCAAGTTATTAGGCATTTCTTTAAAAAAAAAAAAAAAAAAAAGTTATAATAAAAGATTTCTTGTAATCTTTCCATGTTCTCAAGTCCTATATGCTTAAAATATTCTTTGATTATCTCATTGGAGTTTTTATTATTTCTCATCATGATGATAGAACCTAATAATCTTGCTAGATTACTTTCAGCAGTTTCTTTTTCTTGCTCTATGTTTTAAGGCTATGGTTCTCAACCTCAGTAGCCTCAAGGCACCCTTCATTAAACTTGAACCACCCCTTAGAAAATGCTAGCAAGGTCTTTGTTTTCACTCATTTTTTGATATGGAAAAGTAACACATCAGCCTTTCTTCTGTAAAGAGCTCAAAGGCCACAAAATGTCAGTTTGGATTTTTTTGTTTTGTTTACGGCACTCCAAAGCACTCTTGAAAAGATATCAAAGTACCCCAAGGTGCCATGGCAGTGTGGTTGAGAATTTTGCTTTTAAAGAGTCCAATCTGGATTGGATTTGATTTGAAGTCAGTTTTGTCACTAGAGGGCAGTCTTAGTCCTACAGTTCTGGTAAAAGTTTTTTCAACAGACTAAGTATACAACAAAATTGCATAAAAATCTTTGTTGTGAAAAAGATACTTTTTTAGTTTAACCTGAAAAAAATGTTTGCCTTTTAAAATAGCCTGGGGAGGCTCCCTCACTTGCTGTTTCTACTGAGCCATCTGTAATTGTATCAGAGAGTGATTCTGAGAAGATCGCTACCCAAGTGCCACAGATACTACAAGAGACAGATGTTTCCAGTTCTAATATTAAGCAAAACAGTGTGCCTCCTCTACAGAGTAAGTATTTCTCAGTATGGGAAGTTGGGTTTTGTAGCTACTAAAAAAAAAAAAAAAAATGCATGTTGGTTAGCGCTCTAACATGATGGGCTTCAGTACTGTATGTTAATTTGGGTGGTTCAGTATTTAATTTAGCAGAGGAAGAGTTAAGTCTCCTTGTAACAGATAGCCAAGTATAACTTTAAAAGGCTGTTCTTTTAAAAACATGATTTATTTTATATTCCTGTATAACACCTTGCATTAATATAGAATGTACTGATCAATATTTAAGCAATTTGTGCTCAAATTATTTACTACAAAGCTTAAGGAACATTTTTTTATTGCAACATTTTTAGCCAAGTCTGAAGAAAGCTGGGAGTCCCCCAAACAAGTTAAAAAGAAGAAAAAAGCAAGAAGGGAAACGTGAATTTCCTGAGATGGACATATGTTGCTTGAAATACTGTCATGAAGATTATGCTGTTTATGCAATAATTTGTGAACATGTACAGAATTTTATATAAATTTCAACTGATTTTTAAAACAACTGCTGTGAACACAACCATCTTTAAAAAGGAATCCAAGGAAAGTAACTTTGTGATTATAGAAAACAGCAGAACATGCTACATGCTGGAGAGAGACTTTGAAGAGTCTGTTTTTCCAACTTACGGTGAAAGATGTTAACTTAAAAAAAACAAAACAAACTGGTTTTACAACACAGTGCCCTGTTTACAATAGATTATGTCCTATCTCATCTGCAGTTGGGAATAAAGGATTGATTTTAAGGAAGGGTTTTCTGTAAAATAGTTGTCTGTATAATAGTGGATGTTTCTTGCCCCTCTTTTGAGTGGTATATAGAAACACAGAATGTCTACCATTTGGATCTGTTTCATGCCTAAATCAAAGTGCTTTGATTAAATACGTAATCTGCCATATCTTTACAATATGTTGGTTAGCAAAGCAGCTAACCATTAAAGGAATCACAAGTGCAAATAAAATCATTAAAATCATTTGTACAGTTAAACCTTTATGGTTTATTATACAAAGTTAACATAATAAAATGGCTTTTGGTTAAAAGTTTGAGAATGCGATTAAAGCTTGAGTGGTTCATGAAGTTATTTTTTATAGTCTCTTACATTACTTGAATTGTTCAAAGTAACAGTATATTTTTAAGAATGCGGCAATGTGCATAAAATTAATTTCACTGTTTTCTGCTTCATCATATAGCTTTTTTTTATTTGGTTGGTGGGTTCTGATTTACAGCTAAAAGTCTTTTCCTGGTTGATTTTTCTTTAATACTTAAAAATGAATTATAAATGCAAAATTTCCTTTTCCTTTAGCATTTACTAACTTACCCTACCTGTTTCTCTTCCCTTTTTCTTGGTTAAAACAAAAAATAGCAAGGTAATCCGTTTTCATTCACAAATTATGCACTGATTCAAGCATTTGGTGGCAAAATTGAAAAACGGCTTTGGACTACTTTTAATCAACATCGTCAAGATCACAGGTTATCAGGAGTACACTTTTTTCTTTTCCTTTTTTTTTTACTGCCTTAACCTATAGTTAGTTATAGAATGTGCATCTAGACTTCTTGAAGGGGATTAGTGTTTTTATAAGAAATTTCATGCAGTTATAGCAATTATAAAATAAAGAACCTTTTCCCACTTTTAACTATTGATTTTTTTAAAACGGTGTTTTCAGATGTCATTATTTTCAGGCACTGTGTAACTACATGGTATCAAATTAGCAAGTATATTTGTATCTATAAATGGTGCATGTTCAGCCATGTACACTGTAAATGTGCTCTACAAAACTTGTATGTTTGATAAGGACCATAATTAACATCACTTGATGAATTCTGTAAAAGAAAGGCCATGGTTTATTTGATGTGATTGGCTTTCATTTTTGTGGCAGAGAAATGAAAAGGTAACAAATGGCACTGATCAACCATCCGGTATTGTCTTCTGCTTGCAAAGCAGAAATAATAGTTAAAGAAACAAGCTGGTTTTTATTGTACTAAAGACATGCCTTATTGAGAGCTTTCCTAATAAATGAATATTAACTTATGCAGGTGCTAATACCTGTATCAGGAACATGGCAGTTTGTTTACATGTTCAGAAATTTTGTTCAATTCTATTCTAAATTTGTTATGAATGATAAATTGAGCAATTTGATAGTATCATTTTACTTACTGAGGAGAGAGTAATACAAAAGCTTTGCCTATCAGTTCCATGTAAACTAACTTCAGAACTGAAATATTTTCAACAGGGATTTCTAAGATGTTTAACATAGTCATGTAATGTGCATTGCTGCTTGTAAATTAGATTTCCATTTTGCTTACTTCTCCATGTGACAGAAGCAGGTCTTTAAATTCATATGTACAGTGAACTTCCAAATTTTTAATAGTAGTCCCACCCTGTACATTTTTATTAGATGTGGCTTTCTGAAAAAGGACTTAAAGACCTTTACAAAATAATGTGTTGACTACAACTGTATAAAAACTGATTTAGGCATTTGCCTTTGGAAGGGTATTGACAGTTCAGGATTGCCAGAATAAGTCCTTGAATCGTTCAAAATAGCAATTTATATGCATTGTACTTGCAGCAAGCTGCTGCTTCTAACTTGCACAGCAGTCTGAACCTTTCCAGCCTTCCCTTTCAAATATCATCCATTTAGTTGTTCATCTACTTGTGGTGTGTTGTTTTTTTTTTCATTTGTGTATGGATTGAGTGTCTTGGAAAGTTAGACACTTATTTTTATTCAACAGATGCTCCAGAGGAAACAGTAATAATGGAAATTATCCATGAATGGAAACTGAGTTATCTATTTAGATTGTCATTTTACTTTTACCCAAGGCAAGGAATGGCTAATTTTCATAATAATAAAAAATAAAACACATTTCATGCATAGGTACCTTCAGCAGAAAGAGAAACCAATACTGTTTAAAGAAACTAAGTCTCATTCTCTTAGATGCATGAAATATTTTCATAATATGTTTTTGTAATTTTTCTGAAATGGTTTATACTGCACAACTGTATGGAAAGTGTGGTTGTGATGTGTAATTAGATAGTTACTGTATGCTCTCAGGTTTTGTTTTTTTTCTGGGAAAGTGTACAGGATTCATGTGCTTGTTACAAAGCTAGGAATCTGAGTTGACTTGAGACGAATGAAAACTTTTGGATAGCTCTTTTTATAAACCTAAAGAAAAAGTACAATAGATAAACATTACTTAAATGTTTACTAAAGAATGTATACATTAAAAACAAATTTTCAAAATGCTTCATAGGAATACCTTTAGTATTGATATATTTGCAACTGAACTGATTTTCATTGGAAGCTACCATTTTGCTCCAGTTCCCAGCTAGAGGTCTGTTCTGATGACTAGGACCTAGGTGAACATTTGAATGCATATGACTAGCAGATCAAAGTTCATTAAAAATAGAGTGCTTTTCATTCAAGTGGTTTAACAAATCAGGCTTTAAGTTGAATAAGAATTAACATGAAGGGAGGAAAAACCTTTTTAAAGTCTCTTCACATATATTGTGCATCCATTTGTAAATAATCATACTGTTGAAATGGCAGATTTCTTACTTAATTTATTCTCTTCACATAGCTCAGTTTGCATAATGGACAAATGATGCGGGTAGGAAAACAAGACTTTTGTTCTTGGCATACAAGACAGACTGTTTCAATCAACTTCCTTTCTCCCTGCAAATGAATAATTTCCATCTCTGAGCTGCAGAGTTTGAGTTTTCAGTTCTTCAAATGTTCATTAGTTAAGGGGATCCCTTAACTTACCTCTGCTGTAGCCTATCACTTGTACTTCCTGTACAGAGTCTCTTCTGCTGCTTTTGCTGTATTTGAAGGCAGGGGTTCCATATCTGCAAACTGAGTTTCCAGTTTTAACTGGTGTAGACCAAAATCAGGAGGAAAAAAAGGAAAGATAGTATGTGGCTTGTGGATCTTGCTAGAACCTTGTCAGCTGAAATGCATTGGGGGGGGGGGCGGTAAGGGGCACTCTGTCAGCAGAAGCCCTTTGAACATTGTTGGAGTGTCTTGTATTGAGTCAATATTGACAATACAAACACACAACCCCCAAATCAATGTCTGGCTGAATCTCAGTTCATTTTAAAACTATTCTAGTTTGATTGCTGATCTCAACACCTCTCTCTCTCGATCTCTTGTTGCATAATTTCCCCTCCTTCCAAAGATACATACCTATTGAAAACACGTTTTTAAAGACTCGCCTGTTGTACAAAGATGTGTACGTTTTCAGCTTACTGAAAAAAAAATTGCTCTGGTCACTAATGAAAGCTGTTTTCTGATCTGCTACATAGTAGAGCACTTCATTATCAAAGTTGTTCCCCATGCCAGTACTTGGAGAATTTGATCAGTTTCTACTACTTTTCAATAAGTAGATTGAGCTCTTTTTTCTAATTCTTTAACCATCCTCATGGCCCTTCTCTGACTCCTACAAACTATGAACATTCTTCTTGATTTGCAGACACCAGGACTGAGCACGATACTCTAGTGGTGATGGCCTCAATTTCACTTACTGGCACATTGGCAAAATATTTTGAGTACTAGCTGTATGAGGAAGGTAAGGGCTTCTTTAAGTAGGAAATATGCAGTATGCTACAAATAATATACATTTATTTCCTGTGTTTTCATGCTGTGGCATGTCTGGAGGCCTAGTTTGTGGGGGGAAAAAACTTGTATTACCCAATCCTTGCTTTAGTCTTGAAGTTTCTAAGCAAAATAAGCAAAATGTTTGCTGGTTGTTTATGTCCCAAGAGCCTTTTGTTCTCAGAAGGGCAAAATAATCTGAGTCCTAGGTAAGTGTTGACCCCAGTTCAGTAATGTCTCTGCCACATTCAAGCCAAGTTGCCATAGTTCTTTCCTACTGGAAGTTTATCCTGAATTCTTTTGTGGTTTCTCTTTTTCAGTTGGTTTAAATATCAAAAAGATTTCTGGGCCCAAAAACAAAATTAGGGCAATTTCCCCTGGAAGAGATGAGCAGCTACAGGCCCATTTCTATGATGGTCATCACTGAGTTGTCTAGTAATTAGACTATCTTTCACTTTCTTTGTATCTGCCTATTTTATCTTGGCTAAAGACTGTCTTTGGGTTTTTGCTTTTGGTTTTGTTTATTTTGGGAGGGGGAGGTGTTTAGCTTTCTGGGCCAAACTGAATTTAAGCAAAGCATGAAATAGTCAGACATCCATATATCAGGAATGCAAGCTTTGCCATGTCTGTACTCTGCAGTGCTCTCTGTATCGTGACAGTGGATACCTCTTATAAACAGCATGTTAATGTCACCCTAAAACAGTGGGGCTGCTATCTGCTTCTGCCTGTGTGTTTGCTGTAAGGTAAGCTATATACCACAGCAGCTGCAGTCCCTGCTGCACAACTTTTACATGTTGTACATGGCCCCAGTACATTCTTTGGATATTTGCCAATCTGATGCTCACTGTAAACAACTAAATGTGGTAATTCCACACACATTATGAAAAGGGTAATTGTTAGCTCCAACACATTTAGATGGTGCAGGCTGCTGTGACCTAGGAACATTGCCAACACCCTTTATGGCTTCATGAGTTGTTTTTTAGACTTACCATATGCTACTTCAACTTTTTAACACACACATGAGTAGCTAAAAGAAACTACAATCCAGTTTTGGGTTCTAACCTTTTACTTGAGAACTGGTCTGTATTCTGCTGCATGTGGTTTGTGCTTGCTTTTATGGTTTTTAGTTTTTCCTCCTCGGCTTTCAAATGCAAGTCCAGCTATAGTATTTCATATCTGTAAAGAGAGTTTCCCAAAGCTTCCTTTTTCTCTATCTGTCTGTAGCTAGGAAGTCTTTTGGTTGACTTTCTTGACTAAACAAGAAAGTCTACCTGTAAAATGTAGCCCTTTCTCTCAGATACTAAAAATAGCTTAGGACATTTACACTTCCTTTGCAGTCTCTTATCATGCTACATTGCATTCAATGCTTCTGGTGCCCTGTGCAAATACCAAATCCTATTGAAGATCTGCTCTCCAAAGCTTTATAGCTCAAACTGATATTTTGAATTCTCAGGACTCGTGTTACCCCAGTTGATAGGAGATGATTCTCTTCAAACAATAATGGGACGAAGACAGCTGTCTTTACCTTATTAGGTTAACCACAGACCTGCAAGGAAGAAATGATGCTTCCACAGAAGGTGTCGATTTTTTTTTTGCTTTGTTTGCTTCTTCATACTCCTTCCTAATGAATGGACTGCAGCTGGACAGTCCTGTTGAGAGATGTTCTGAGCTAAGTGTTGGGAAAGTTTCCCCTACCTCTAGAGGCAACCTCTTTTTTTGTGGGTAGGATAATATTTCAGTGGACCTGTGCATCCAGACTAGTATATTTTCCTCACTTGTGTATTGTCCCTACTGTTTTCTGACTTTGGTTTGTTCCTTGATCATGGACCCCTTCAAAAGAAACAAACAACCCAGAAAAACACAAAACTGTAGTGCACGTTGGCTCTTAGTACCTTTTGATTCAAGAGAAATGGTTTGTATTGCTTTTTTCCTAATCTTCCAAAGAGGGATCAGACAGCCTTCCAGTTTCAGTATTCTGGTCAGGCAGGTTGCTAAAATCATAGAATCATAGAAGTAGGGTTGGAAGGGACCTTGTAGATCTTCAAGTCCAACCCCCCACCTGGGCGGGAGAAAAGACTGGACTCAAATGAGTCCAGCCAGGTAGGCATCAAGCCTCTTCTTAAAGATCCCCAGGGTAGGAGCCAGC